GTGGATCTTCAGGGGGGCCTTGGCGGCCTTGGGCAGCCGGATGGAGCCTGGGGGGGCCACGGGGGGCTCAGGGGGGGCTGACAGGGGGCTCAGACCCCCCCTGCAGTCCCAGAGAAGGGTCCCAAACCCCCCTTCCCCCCCCAGTCCTAACATCCACATTTGGCCTTGATGGGGGTCCTGAATTCCTCCTGATGGGGGTCCCAAACCTCCTTGGATGGGGGTCCCACATCCCCTTTAATGGGGGGCCCAAATCCCCCCAATGGGGGTCCCAAACCTCCTTGGATGGGGGTCCCAAATCCTCTTGATTGGGATCCCAAATTCCCCATGATAGGGGTCCCAAATCCCCTTTAATGGGGGTCCCACATCCCCTTAGATGGGGTCCCAAACCCCCCCGATAGGGGTCCCAAACCTCCTTGGATGGGGGTCCCACATCCCCTTTAATGGGGGGCCCAAATCCCCCCAATGAGGATCCCAAATCCCCCCTGATGGGGGTCCCAAATCCCCCTGGATGAGGGTCCCAAATCCCCTTTTTTATCCCCATTTTTCCCTCCATTTCTCACACTTGACCTTGATAAGGGTCCCAAATCCCCCGATGAGGGTCCCAAATCCCCCCTGATGAGGGTCCCAAATCCCCCTCTGATGGGGGTCCCAAATCCCCCCTGATGAGGGTCACAAACCCCCCCAGTGGGGGTCCCAAATTCCTTTTTTATCCCCATTTTTTCCCCCATTTCTCACACTCACACTTGGCCGTAATGGTGCCAGCATTGATGGGAATCCTAAACCCCCATTTTTTCCCCCATAAACCCCCCCCTCTCATAAGGGTCCCAAACCCCCCAAATGGGGGTCCCAAATTCCTTTTTTATCCCCATTTTTTCCCCCATTTCTCACACTCACACTTGGCCGTAATGGTGCCAGCATTGATGGGAATCCTAAACCCCCATTTTTTCCCCCATAAACCCCCATTTTTTCCCCCCAGAGCCCCATTTTTCCCCCAAACTCCCATTT